AGGCTCCCGCTGAGCAGGGAGCCCGATGCGGGACTCGATCCCAGGACCCTGGGATCATGACCTGAGCGGAAGGCAGACGCTTAACCATCTGAGCCACCCAGGCGCCCTTTCTCAGCATCTCTTGAAGTTAGGTTGGGTCCTGTGACTTAAGAATTGCTTAGTGGAGTGTGGGTCAAAATTGTGTCAATCACTTCCAGGTCTAGCCCATAAAATCCTCTTCTACCCTCCACTCTTCTTGAATCCCTCTGCTGGATGTCAATTCCCAGCAAAACATTAGAAGACACCCCCCCCCCTTTTAAGATGTAGCAACAGCCATCAGCCTGGGAACCGAAGTAAATGAGAATCATAGTCATCTACTTACTCCTCCACTTAAGCCAATTGGATTTAAGTTATCAAAGCAAACACCTGTTGCATTAAACAATGAAAATTAGGGATTATTTTTTGATAGGTACTGTTATTCTGATTCAGAAATTGGTGGTGAAAGTGGATGCTGCTGTAAAAATAAATCCAAAGTACATGCCATTCATTGGTCCAGCAGTCAATCAAGATGAAAACTAATACCCAGTATTAGAAAATGAGATTTGTGTAAAACAGTGATGAAACAGTTTTTTAAAAGATTACTTGCAGTTACTTGGAATGTGAACCACATGCCCTTGACCCCATAGCTCTAAGGAAAGGCTAGAAAATGTAATGTTGGTAGTGAGTGTTGACTTTTACTACCTGCATTTACCAAGGTGATAGAAGAAAAGAAATGTGATGTGACAAGAATTTGTTACCTTGCAAGTACAAAAAAAAAAAAAAGTAAAAAAGATAAAAACCATTGCTTCTAGTCCCAAATGATAAGAGATTAATGCACAAAGATCCATTAAGACTTATGGCTCCAGCACAGATCTGAATAAAATTGTGGTATTTCCTCCTAAATATTATTGCTTTAAGACAGGGGGCAAAGGATGGAAAAAGTAAGTCAACCTTGAGAGTTATACTTAGGAAGGAACTTTGGGAGATGCTACTAGCATGTAGCTGAACAGATACTTTACTCTCAAAAACATAGTCTGCTTATTTATAATTCAAAAAAAAAATTTGCAAGTCTTTTCTTTAGCAGCCTTTCGATGCTCTGTCATTAGAAGTATTTGGGGGCTCCCAAACTTGCTCAGGGAGGAAATGGGTTGCACACTTTAAAGGTCTCCGAGGAGGGTCAGTCCCCATCATTTATTTCAAATGTGCTATTGGACAAAAAACCTGCTAAAGAGTAGATCCAGAGCTATGAAGAACTTTGAATAAGTAGTTCCTCCCTGATAGCAAAGTTGAAATCAAGGATATATTCTTACTGCCAGTTTAAAAGGACCTCATAATTCCTGCCAGAAGTTTATCGTAACTACAATAGACCAGTGCCTTCTGCATGCCTCTGGTGTACCCTTTCCCAGATGCAGTTTTTAGTACAAATTTATCCTTGCTTGACCATATGTATGTTGGGCCAGGTGGCAGTAGGGAGATTTCTGTAACTTGTGTTGTTTGTGCAAATATCACTGAATATCAAGGAGCTATATCCATATATGAACCATGTCATCATCCAGAGATCTTGGACTTGAAGCTGGTTGCAGTAACTGGATGGAATTTGGGGTTGTCTCACTTGGGGAGCGAGGAAGTGTGCTCTGGTTGCAGTAGGATACTTGGTAACCAGAAAGACATACTGTATTAGACGCTAGCGGAGTGCTCACTTCATCTATTTCTTCTTTCCCTCAGGTACCTGGCTAACGTACATTTCCCAGCTTCTTGCAGTTAGGCAAACGCTGACCAATGGAATGTAGGTAAAATGGTTACATGATGATCACCTCCCCACAAAATGTTGCAGGCAATCTTCCACATTTCTTCCCTTGTTTTCCAGCAGGATGTTGACATCCTGGGCTCCCTTGCAAGATAGCTTTTGAAGACAAAGTTTCCGCCAGCCAGGGTCCTTGCATGATTGCGTGGAGCAGGTCCCCTCAACCCGATCCCACCACCTGTTGAACTTTACATGAGCAACAAGTAAGTATTTGGTTAAGTCATTGAGATTTAGGTTGGTTATCAGTTACTGAGCTAAGGTTATTTTAATACATATATGATATGTGGTGGTGATCTAACTATTCTCTTTTTCCAGTATGTATATTGTCCTAATGCTACTTTTGAGTAGTTGGGTCATCCTTTGTCTACTGATTTGAAATGTCACTATACAATCCCAGGAATGTTCCTAGGTTCTCTTTTCCTCTATTTCTCCGATCCAGTATTATACTCTGAATTATTCTAGCTATTGAATGGGTAAAGAAGATGTGGTATATACATGGTAGAATATTACTGGCCATAAAAAAGAATGAAATCCTGCCATTTGTAATGACATGGATGGAGGCAGAGAGTATTACGCTAAGCACAGTAAGTCAGTCAGAAAAAGACAAATAGCATATGATTTCACTCATAAGTGGAATTTTAGAAACAAAATAAATGATCATGGGGAAAAAAGAGAGAGATACACAAATCAAGAAACAGACTTTTTTTTTTAAAGATTTTATTTATTCATTTGCCAGAGAGAGAGAGAGAGAGCACAAGCAGGGGGAGGGGCAGGCAGAGGGAGAGGGAGAAGCAGGCTCCCTGCTGAGCAAGGAGCCCAATGCAGGGCTCGATCCCAGGACCCTGGGACTCTTAACTATAGATAACAAACCAGTGGGTACCAGAGGGGAGGTGGTGAGGGGGGGAATGAGAGAAATAGGTAATGGGTGCTAAGGAGGGCACTTGTGATGAGCACTGGGTATTGTATGTAAGTGATGAATCACTAAGTTCTACACATGAAACTAATATTATACTGCATGTTAACTAATTGGAATTTAAATTAACCATAAATAAATAAATAAATAAATAAATAATTATGGCTTTATGTTTTCCTTAGATACCCACTAGCCTGGTTTACTCATAAGTCTTTTTATTTTCCCCTCAACATTTTCTTGGCTATCCTTAGGTCTTTTCTTTACAAACAGATTTTAAAACTAGCTAGTAAATTTTATTTTCAAAAATTATGTTGGAGTATTAATTTTGATTACTCTGAGAAATTATTTTCTGACCTGAGAAGTCCTTGCTTCTCACACAAAATTGCATAGAATGATAAGTCCACTTCCGTGAATGGGCCTAAGTTTTAGAATTGTAGAAGAAATGATATGTACACGAACATGTTCAGTAGCCTAAGTATGACGTCATCATGCAGAAATTAAGTAGCCTTAAATCAGACTCTGGAATGTTGTTTGTACTTTGAACATGTGTTTCTCTTCAAGGGAAAACTTGTTTTGAAAGAAAGTCCTTCTCCATGTTGTTTTCAGGATTAAATTAAAAGGATGTTTTTTAATAAAAACAGCCAAAACTTAGAGGGTAAGTGAAAGAAGGAGGGTTATTTGTGTTTATTTTTAAACTAAGCATGGTATAAAAATTCAGTGTTTGACTTAACTCTCCCTTATATGGACAAAAGTTCATAGTCCTCACATATACCAACAACAACCAATTTGTTTTATGTCTGAAATAGGTGTGGACCAATTCTGAATTTTTTTTTTTTTTTATCATCACTGACACTGCTTGTGATAATGGAGAAGTTTTTCAGGCCCTATCAAATTTTTATTTTTATTTATTTATTTTTAAAGATTTTATTTATTTGACAGAGAGAGACACAGTTAGAGAGGGAATACAAGCAGGGGGAGTGGGAGAGGGAGAAGCAGGCTTCCCACTGAGCAGGGAGCCAGATGTGGGGCTCAATCCCAGGACCCTGGGATCATGACCTGAGCCGAAGGCAGACGCTTAACGACTGAGCCACCCAAGCGCCCAGGCCCTAACAAATTTTTAAAGATTTTGTAAGCACTATAATTGCACTATTAATGCATAGAATTTACTTTATTTAGTGCTTGAATTAATGTTCTGCACATTGGTATTTGCATGCCATCCTGTCAGGGAGAGCTTGTCTGACCTCCCTTCAAAAACATCAACCGGTTATTCCTTCCTCCTTGCTTGATTTTTCTTCTTTGACATTCACCACCTGACATATATATATATATATGAGATGTATATATATATATATATATATACACAAATAGATAGATATAGATAGATAGATATAGATATATATTATATATAATATATATATTATATTACATATATTATATATTATATATTATGTATATTATATATATTACATATGTAATTCTATATATATGTATGTATTTATATAGCCATCAGCCTCTCCATCTAGAATATAAGCTTTGTGAGTGCAAAGATTCTGTTTCCTTCTCTGCCGTGTCCCAAACTTGTATATAATAGGTGCCCAGGTAAATATTTGCCTTTTGAATACATATGCTATAAATATTTGAATAAATGTCAGTTTGAATACATAATCATGGACATATACAAGTTTCTTCAGCTTATTAATGACTCCTGTAATTGAATAGCTACAGCTCCCAGTTAGGAATCTACCAGAGTAATTCGAGTAAGAGAGAGGGCAGCTTGGACTTGGGCAGTTAGCAGTGGAGAGTAAGAATGGGAGAGAAGATAATGTCTGATTATAGAGGAGAAGGTATGAATTAATCTCCTACAAAAAGTATGAGAGTAATTGAAGTAAGAAACTGGCATGAGTCCTGGGCAGCATTAGGAGCCCATTCAAAGTTCACTGTCACTAGTTTAACGTGAGAACAATCAGCACAGTTTGAATTTTCTTTTCTGGGACCTGTTTTTCGGTAATATTTATTTGGGGCTCTTAGTATTTTTGTTCCTGATTGGTAGGGGCTCTTCATATGTTAGAGCAATAAGCCCTTTGCCTATCATGATTTGCAAAAATTTTCATTTTATCATTTGTCTTTTGACTTTGATTTTTTTTCCAAACAGAATATTTGATTTTATTCATGTTATAAATGATATACTTTGAACCTTCTAACTAGTTACGGTGCGTATATGTGAAGACTGTGTACTTCTGCATATCATCAGTTTCCTCCACACAGGTTATCAAACTCTCATTGTTTTTATTTTTTTTAGGAATTTATTTATTTATTTATTTATTTATTTATTTATTTATTTATTTATTTATTTATTTATTTATTTATTTATTTATTTATTTATTTATTTATTTATTTATTTATTTATTTATTTATTTATTTATTTATTTATTTATTTATTTATTTATTTATTTATTTATTTATTTATTTATTTATTTATTTATTTATTTATTTATTTATTTATTTATTTATTTATTTATTTATTTATTTATTTATTTATTTATTTATTTATTTGACAGAGAGTGCGCATGCGTGCATGCATGTGCCCAAGCAGGGGGAGGGGCAGAGGGTGAGGGAGAAGCAGGCTCCCTGCTGAGCAAGGAGCCCCATGCAGGACTTGATCCCAGGACTCTGAGATCATGACCTGAGCCGAAGGCAGACACTTAACCAACTGAGCCACCCAGGTGTCCCTTGTAACTCCATTTCTTTTACCTAATTAGAATGGCTACTACATCCAGTATAACATAAAATCACAGCACTGATAGTAGACCTCCTGTCTATTCCTGACATTAATAGTAATACTTCTGGTGCTTCGTCTTAAGTATGAAGTTGACTTGTAGATGTAGGTAGATATGTTTTATGATATTAAGATCTATTCCTCTCATTTGGTGTATTTTTGTAAATCAAGAATGGATGTTGAATTTTATCAAATACCTTTTACGCATTTATGAAAATGATCTATGTGATTTTTCTCTCTTGTTCTTCAAAGACTTATTGGAGAATAACTCTGAAAAAAATATTTCAGCCTGGTGCATTTTGACAACTTTCTCTATCTTTTCTGTATTAATTTGTTTAGATTTTCACCTGAACTCAATTTATATTTATATATATAAATTATAAATATAATTAAATACATTTATAAATAAATAAATAATAAATATTAAAAATATATATATATTGAAAGTAACTATTTCATTCATGATATATTTTATTTTAGAGCAAAACAATATAATCTCTTGGCTTTTAAAATTACTTCCGCAAGTTTGGGGTAGTTCACCATCAACCTTTAAAAGTAGAACAGCCAGTGATTTTACCAGTGAAATGGGTTTATTTGGGAATAACAGAAGAATTGCAATTCAGGATACGCAAGCTATGGCAAGCCATAGGCAAGTCCAGAGATCAAAGGAGGGGGATGTTACTTTATAGAGAAAAGGAGAAAATTGGGAGGGGCTGCTTTGTACCCAAGTCCATTGGAAGGAAGTGAGAATTCACAGTGGTCATGGCTTCTCACTGACTTGAGTTGCTGGTTGAGGAGAAATCCTTCCTTCCTCCTGATGGAGCAGTAAAGTAGGCTTCTTCCTGTGGAGGAAGGTAGGGTAGGTCTCCCACTGGAGTTTGCAGTTGACGACGAGTGGTAGGGCATGAGAGCTCCCCCTTCTGTCCTCCAACTGTATCTTTTTTTTTTATATATATTTTTATTTTTTTATTCTTATGTTAATCCCCATACATTACATCATTAGTTTTAGATGAAGTGTTCCATGATTCATTGTTTG